TCATACCGAAATCAATAACTTATCGACTTCGGCAAATTTTTTTAGGGTGTCCCAGAATTTATGAAAACAGCTGTAATAGCTTACACTATGTTTGTGATCAGTCAATGCCGGTAACTTATCAGTTATGATTTGGTGATTTATCGATTCAGTTATCAGCAATTTTTTAGTTGCCCAGGTGATGCACCAACGAACCGGGTAAGATCATAGCCTGCTAATGATCCATCCGACCTTATCATGCTTCAAAATGGATCCGGGATGCGCAAAGCTTGAAGGCATTGACGTTGAAGAAGTCGTAAGAAACGGGTTGACAGCTGAACTAATTGGGAATATTTAACGATTAAAAAAAAAAAATTTTTTTTAAAAAATTCGACGTTAAAAGAATATCCATACCAGGTTGTCGTTGTTCTGGCACTAAATGTAAAGTCGAAGCTTTTAAATCAAGAATCGTCAAAAATATAGCCTTGCCCCAAAAAAAAGCGAGATTGAAAAAAAAGAATATTAAAGCTATTAGTAATCGACCCCTCACAACAAAATCAAAAATTTTTTTAAAAAAAATTCAATATCTTGAAAAATTAGATTGATTAGAATAAAATTATCATAAAATTAAAACATCAAATTTTTTGGTCCATCCATCCTTTTGCTGTGGGGTCCATATAGTGTTAAGATTGATTAGAATCGTGATTAACATCAGTGATAGGCTTAAAATATCAAACCCGATTGAAATAGCCAAAGCAGAGATATGGATAATAGCCAAGAAATTGAGTAATCGAACAAGAAAAATGGACATGACGAAAGAGAAAAGGTAGGTCATGACAGTTTTGTGCGGATGTGGGCACACGAGCGTAAAATGGATAACGATCGAATTGCAAAAAGTTTAGTAGAAAAGTGAACGTGACGTCGAAGAAGGTTGGTCGCGACAATAATGTGCGAGGACGAGGCATATTTAGGTGAATAATTGGATTAAATGGAATAATAGAAAAATATGGTATAGTTAGTATATGAAGAAAAAGGAAGGAAACGTCCGCATTACCTGCTGGATAAGACTCAAGGGAAGCACCAGAGGAATGTCAAAGTGTATGTTGTTATCAAATGGAATTGGAGCAAAAAAGTATAGACATAAAGCCTTGGCCAAGAAAGCATCTCCAAGATAAGAAAACTTACCCAAAGTAGAGAAATCTGAGGTTAAATCCAATTCGGTCCAGGTTATATTTGTTAGACGAAACCTCTGATGAAAGTCGAAACCTCAAATTCTTCTGACAAAAGACGAAACCTTAAACTTAAAATGACGAAGTCTTACGCTCAAAAAGACAAAACACTAGTGCTCCCGCTAAAAAAAATAAAAAGTAAAAAAATAAAAATGTTATTTTCGTTGAATTAACATTCATAATTTATTTAGTAATCAGTATCTGAAATTACATGTATGCCAACAAAATAAACCAGTTCATTTTTTCTGGACAACGCTAGGGTTAATATAAACCGGTTGAAATAAACTTGTCAAAAAACTATAGTACTCATGGAATAACACAAATAATGAATTAAATAATACAATATATATCTAAAAACTATAGTACTCATGGAATAACACAAATAATGAATTAAATAATACAATATATATCTAAAAACTATAGTACTCATGGAATAACACAAATAATGAATTAAATAATACAATATATAACTAACAATTCAAGCGCCTATTATACAATAAATTTTTTTGTAATTTCTAAAATTTAAAAATTTTATAAATTTGTTCTAGCTGTAATAACATGTATATAAAGAAACGCTATTTACTTTTAATAAAAAGGCTAAATTCGTTGTATCTAATCCTGTGATTCCAAATCAGAGCTTGTCACAATTTACGTATTTCAATCCAAAGTCGTTGCAATGAATTCATTCCTTACGTTACGTGCACGTTGTTTTCACGGGTTCGTGACCTGAAGTTAAAAAAAGACAATGTTGTTTTCACGGGTTCGGTGACCTGAAGTTAAAAAAAGACTCGTAACGTAGTATAGAGCTCAAATCTAGCACCCTAATTACTTGGATCAAATCTCACCGTGCCTCGATCGTAGCCTGCCACTATTAGGGTTTAGGTTAGAAAGTAATACGAAGTCTACTCTAATTTAAAAAAAACTTCCTACCGAAAACGCGCACCAAGATGAAGCCCATCTTTTAGTAAGGGTAAACACACTTCTTGAGTTAAACCCATTTTTTAGTAAGGGTAGAATCACTTCTTGGGTAGAATCACGCTAGAAACGCTAAAATAAATTGATTTTAATATTAGTTGATATCGTTTGACCCACATTATGTGATTCCAGAGCAGTTACCACTTTCACATCGTCATATAAGTTACCTTAACGTGATAATTTCAACGATCTCCAAAATATCGTTGTATTAAATAACCCTTCTAATTCAGATATTTTGGGGTTAATATCTGTACCCTCCCTGCGATGAAAAGGAAGGTTAGCGAAAATTAAAGGTCGATCGGTTTTCTGTCGAAGATGAAATATCATCATACCTACCTAAGTAAAGTTTTTAGGGATAATGATCTATACTGATCTTTTTTTGCAGAAGATACACGAAGAGTTAAAGATCTAGTACATAATAAAAATAATTATATTAAATAGCATAAATTTCATTAAACATCGCAAACCCCCCTTTTCAGGGCCATAAAAGAACTATAGTCCTTTCAGAGTGTGTCTTTGCGCGAACGCGAGGCAGCTTCCTAAAAGGGTCCGATTACAGTATTATTGAAAAATATAGCTACCTTTATTACGAAAAATTTACTTGAATTATTTTCATACGGCATCCGAGTTATTTTACGCGTTTACTTTAAAATTTAAAAAGAACGCGTTCAGTAACTTCATTACCTATAGTACTAAATAGCATTTCAATGTTGTCATGCGATTCGATAATTTGCTTAGCCGATTCGAATTGGTTCTGATCTTTTTTCCAGACCAACTGGCTGTAATTCAACCAGCAACTATAGACATGTTTTTCTGTAATATAGCTATTGTTCGTTCCAATCTCTTGATAAAAAAGGATATTACCAAATTTAAGGATGGCTAAAGTCGTGTACCCATGTGATTTTTTAAAATTTTAAGCATACTGTACTACAGTACCAGATTCGTTATTGTCCGGAGCGTAGCGACGGACTTTTAGTGTTTATGCATGGTGATATAAAAATTACGTTATTGATGCATTAAGCCACCAGAATTTGCTTTTTTGATGCAGCCACATAAAAATTATGAAGATCACATCAGAAATGTAATTTTTTGTCTGTCCGCACGCGTGTTCAAATTTGTAAAAAATATGATAATCGTCATGTGCTCCGGACACACAATGCTACGCATTAGCCTAGTTTAATTAATAAATTTAACGAACCCTTCTAAAAGGAGATTTATATATTTTATTTTAATGAAAATAATTTATTATATAATTCAATAAGCTTTTTTTGTATAACGATACTCTGAACTCAAATAATATAATAGTTATAAAAAAACGCTCTATGGTTTTTAATAAACATACTGTAGTAATTTTCTGTGAACATTCTTCCGGGACTATCTGTTTGTTATAGAAGGTTGGCTGTAATTCTTAAGAAATTTTTCTTTACAAAAATACAAAAAAATATGAAAAATTATTTAAACAATAAAGAATTTTTAACAGATAAACTGGCGTGTTTGTAATTTTTTTATCTAAAAATAAAGATTCCACTATAGTAAACTTTATTTTTTTTCTTTGTAAACGAAATATAATATTGACTAAGGTCTTTTAGTAAATTGAATTATAATGAGAATAAGTTCGATAGTTATATTAAAAATCAAATTAAGTTATTCTTCAATCTGTGAAAATTAAACAATGACTCTGGTCGATTAATAATTGATAAGATTTTTGACTCACGTAGAACATTGATACGGCTTAGCCATAGATTAAAAAGCCTAACTCAAAAATATGGACACAGTGACGTATATTTCTTAAATTCAAGATGTGATGTATCATCTTTGTTGCATGATTATTAGGCCAAGTTCGATATGCGATTGTTAAAGAATTTTGTTGAAGTAGAATAGTAAAATCAGTTAATATATTTCTTTCTTTTCGTTAATGTCGTAAATAAAGATACAAACGAAAGTAATTAAAGGGTAATGCAGAAGAAAATTCGAATTATAATATCGCTATAATTAACGAAAGTAAGTATCGAGGAAGCTTTTGTCTCGAATCTTTTACCACAACCATCGATCGAACATGTGACAGGCCGGTTACGGTCACATGTTCGATCGTAAGTATGTAGATTAGTAATGCGGTCTATGACGAAAAGATAGCTTAGTGTTATCATAGTTAATACGAAATAATTGAGTAAATATAAGGTAATTGGATCATAGTATAGTAAGTGAAATATGATGAATCAATTTTGTCTTTTCTGCAGTGTAAAAAATTCAGTTTGAGAAGTATGTACGCACTCATATGATTACATGCTTTCTTCACATTAAAATAAGAAAATTTCATGTGCGATCCGCACATGCGGCAGCCATGAAATTGTGACCTACAGTCACATGGTAAGAATAGCTTATTGGGACGACAACTAATGTTATACTTTTAAAAATAAAAAAGAAAGGAAAAGAAAGAAAATAAGAAAAGGAACAGGAAGAGCGATGTTCAGTAAGACTGCGTAGGTTGCTCGATAGCAGAAGGGACAATACACGTAATGTTCTTCATTGTCCGGAGCGTAGCGGACGACTTTTAATAATGTGATACAAAAGTTACGTTTTTGATGCATCAATAGCTACATTTTTGATTCACCTTTTATTGTCATTTAAGCTATTGCATCAAAATCATAAATTTGAAAATTCATGTCTTGTCCGCACGCGTGTTCAAATTTGCAATTTTAGTGTAGCAAAAATATGCACATTCACGCGTTTGTGCAATGACATATGATACGCTCTGGACTCATAATGCTATTTTCCTAGTACAGTAGTATTAACCTGAATGAGATACAAATAAGTAGTCACCGAGACCATCCTTAACGTCAGGGTTGGAGGTATATAGGTAAAATTGCCTTCCCGACATTTTTTGTTAATAACCCAAGACAGATTTAGATCACCGTTTTTATGCTTTTGCATTTTCTTTATTTTTTGACTTCGATTGATTAATTTGCACAAAAATAACACGTGGGTATATGATACCGATATGTAGTAAAATTACTTTTGACCGGTCAGTCGGTTTTGACCAATAACTGACGTAACCGACATAACAAATAACCGATCGTGAGTGACCTAACACACCCTTAATCACAATCTTTCCCTTAATTATCACATATATACGCGTATTAATTACCAAGTATAATATATATTCATACTACTGGTACTATGAAAATTTATGAAAAACGAATTTCATATCGACTAGTCACTTTATTTGTAACATTTTAAAACGGTAAAATATATGAAATGTTTTTCTTTTAAGTAACTAGGATTTTTCATAATCGGGACCGACTTTTTTTTTTTAAGATATATCTTTGCTTAATTTTTTTTGATATAATAATTTAAGATGATCACAAAAAAAAATAAACATTAATTAAGCGGTTTGACTTCTATACTCTGCTTTTAAAGTATCGATTAATCCTTTTCTACCTTTATAATCAAACATCTTTTTTACTTTTTTTATTAATCTATCATCATCTGTTATAACTAATGTTGTCGATAACATTAACATCGTATGTTCAAATGATGACGTTGTTAGCGTTGCTATATTTTTATAAATAAAAATATATTGTACGTATATAATGATTATATATTTTTAGAAAATAAAATTATAAATAAAAAATAAATATAATATACGCGTACCTTTATGATATTTTAATAAAGCAACAGCAACAAAATAAAGTATATCAAATCCATGTAACATTAATATATCCCAAATTCTAAGCACAGTATGATGAGGTACAACATCGCTTGTAAATAATGTTATATACCATCTTGTTGCATATGCGGTGGTCGTTAATTGTATTTTATTCTGATAAAAAAAAAAATTAAATCAATAATACGAAATTTTTATTCAGATTCATTCATTAAAAATAATACTCACAAATTGAGAGGCAATTTTTGGAGCATATTTTAATAATAATTTTTCCTGAACATAAAAACTTTCCAATAACGCGGGGAAACCAGGTATAAACAAGTTATGTAAATTACATTTTGTGAATAATTTTGTTAACATTATAAAAGCGTTCTACGCGAAGCAAATAAAATATTAATAAATTAAAAAATGTAATCTATTTTGAAGTAATGACGAAACATAATATACAAACCTCTTCGGTATAATACATTAATAAAACTGTTACAATATTTGTCATCCCTTGGCAATAACCGATTTGTGCATTATAATTTGAAAATGCTCGAAGTACGTTAAATAACGCTCTTTGTCTATTTAAAATAGAAAATGAAAGTAGTTAATAAAATTATAGTTTAACTAATAGTTTTAAATATTTATTAATTTGTTATCCACGTACCCAGGGCCGTATCTAGATCGAAACATAATATGAGAATGTAAAGTACGTGGGACATCCAAATCAATTTGTTTTTCGTGTTGTGAAGGTAACGTTAATAGCATCTTAATGATGAGAATATTGATGGGAATATTAATGTAAAAGATGAGTAATTGATTCAATAGATAGTGATAAATTTTTTGAAATAATAAAACCTAATAATTTACCTCATATGTACGCTGTAAATTATCATCATATTCTGATTCAGCATCACCGTTTGTAACTAAAAAATACCTATACATATAAATATATATAAAAAATAAATCAATATTTTTTGAAAACTAACCGTGTTATAATTATAATTAGTTATAATTATAATTAGTTACAATTATAATTAGTTACAATTATAATTAGTTACAATTATAATTAGTTACAATTATAATTAGT